TTCTTGAACAACGTTGGATATACAAGCACGATCGATTCAAATACATTTCGGTACTCAGTTTTTAACAGCTCAAACACCCGTCGGGTCTTCCCCGAATCGATTTTGCCAGCGATTAGAGCAGAGTGGGGTTCGTTTGGATTCTGATTTTGACTCATTTTAGTTTAAGCACACTTTGTAAATAAATTAAAATCGTTTTTACCCCTTCAAACCAGATAAAAACTGCATACATATAGGAGGTAAGACCCGCTAAAACCATACCTATAGGAAATAAGGCCCGCTAAAGCGCGCTAAAAACCCTTCAGTAATTCAGGGTTTGAAATTTCCGTCTTCGATGGTTAGCTGAGCATCCATGATTAAAAACACCTACATCGTGAAGGGGCCAGCAGTGCCTGCTTTTCTGGACATTTGTAGGCTGACGCCTCCCGATTCTCCTGTGCGTCTTCTCGGTCCGTGGGAGGTGTCGTCGTCGGTACTTCTAAAATCAAGCTACAAGTCATTTTTCTTTCAAATAATCGGCCATACCGACACCCGTCAAGTTAAGGTATTTTGGACCGCTCGACCAAATTCTGTGTCCGAATCTCTACCCCAAATTGTTAATTTCGTGCCAGTGTTGGTTTTGATACACGCCTTGCGAATAAAGTTGGTTGGTTGCCTTCCACCGCTACTACAGTTTTTGTCACGTGGGGGTTGTAAAATCTTTGATGGTTTGTAACTGTGGTTTCTTTAAACAAAAACAACAGCCCTTCGAGACTCTTAATGAGTTGATTTATTACGACGTGTCCGTAGGGTTGAAGACTTTATCGTAATCGTTAAAGTGAGCTCTAAGTTAAAGGGTAGCTGCAATCAATGTTTTTATTGCAAACCTGTAAAATGCACCTTGGTGTCCCTGTAAACCTTACTTTTAAATTTGGTTTCACGATTTCAAAGGGTATTTTAATGCCTTTTGGTTTTTATGCTAATGAGCATTTCCATACTCATGACCAAAACTGTGAAGTCATTCTCAGGAAGAAGCCTTAATGTTACATTGGTTTGTACACAAAAAGTCCTGCTTTTTTGTAGATTTTCCTAGACTACGTTTTCTCGGTGTTGCAGTTTCATTGTTGTTTATAGCAACAGAAACCATCAATTTCTCTCTCAGAAATACTCGTAATTAACTAAGCTCTGGCTCAGAATTGAAAGGTGAGTTTAGAAACACATTTTTAAACAAAGCGGGAAAACTTGATTGTGGGAAAGCCTGGGGCTCATCGATTACAAAGGATCGTAGAACGGTTAAGTTATTAGAACTTTGGCTGAAAGGTAATTCGGACATCAATACATTCAAGAAATCCCGGTGAGCGATCTGTAGGATTGGTTGACAGGTTACCCCAAGCCGTTGAAGCATTAAACAACGAAAAGATCAGTTGATAAAAACATTTCCAGTTGAAACTATCATACTAGATCGTGTGAAACAGTTGCCAACAGCTCCTCCCAAAACAACAGCTGAAGAGCGACTGTTGCTCAACGACGCTTTGGTTCGGTATCTGTGTTACCGGGGTGACCAAGAGGGCGGCACCGTCAGGAGAGCTACTGATTCAATCTGGAGCGTTGACGTGTACCAAATAGAAAAAGAACCGTTCAGTTTAAACAAGTCAACGGTAAAAAGGTAACCACGGGTCCAACTACTTGTCTAACGGTCCTAAAAGGCCGTTTGTACGAGAAGAGCTTCAAACGGAGCCCGAAGACACAAAGTACCCGCCGGGAAAAACAACATTAAGTGTAATGCTAAACGCATTAAAGGTTAACAGAAATTAAAAACATTTAGTTCACGTTAAGTGTTTAGAAAATAAAAATAAATACATCAACATTTCAAAAACATTATAAATTCAATGTTTACCCCATTAACCGGTACCCCCCAAATGAATAGATCCTGCGTTGTCCCGCCCACAAATAATCCCCTTTTGGCTGTTCATTTGGCAGAACGCCTACATGTACAGTGCACTTACATTTACATTGCATGTGATCACTAAGGGACACGACCATCTGAATTTGATACGTCTCCGAGTCAGGGTAGGTAACCGTTATTAGAAACAATGATGGAGAGTCGTTGGGTTGACTTACACACATAACTTATTTATTCTGAATAATTATTTACATCGTCCAAATTTACAATAACCTACTTCTGTTACTATTGAGATAGAACATTACTGTAAAGGGGTATTCGTCATGAAAACAATAATCAGAGTACAGGTCTTCCATATCTGTGTAGTTCAATCGGGAATGTCCGATGGGTAATGCATACCAGAGCTATACACTCAAGGAATGGTCCACTGGTCGGCTAATCCCAGACAGAGGGAAATCTGCGGATGTCCCATTTTTAGGGTAATTTGCATGAGTAATGAGGACCATGCCAGGGAAGCAGCTGCTCCATTTCATGAAATGTACGTCTTATTTTCCCCTTTTGGGAAAAATACCAGTCCAGTATACTTTCCTGGTAAGATGAAGCCTTTTTCTAACGTGTTTTGTGAAAATAAAATTGAGAAATAGTACCAGAGTGGTCAAACCTATTTTTGGGGTGAAAAAGCTCTTTCCGCAAGCAATAGTTCACGTTTGGATGCGATTTTTGAATACGCGAAACATAACATTCGAAGTTTTCCTGAAGTTTTCAAAAGATGGCTGTGGTGGAGAAAGGAGTAAAGGTTTTAGGTTTGCTGACGGTTTTGCGCTAGATCCCGATCGGACGCGAATGCACATTGACCTAACTTAGCACCCATTCCGTTTATCATGCATAATCTCACGGCCTTGCGAGCGTAATAATTAAGTGCCTCGAGAATAAAAGAAAAACACAAAAGTACAGTACGTTAACATCAAGTTCATCATTGAAACCGAGGTCTACCTGTCATTATAAAATTGTCAGGAAATGTATAAATTCGCAGTATATATCCCCAGTTACATGTACTATACACACATCAACCACATGATGTACACCAGCTCCGACGCATAATTTCCATGTACAGACTGTACATGTACACGCACATGTACACGTACAATATGTACATGTACATGTATGTCGGTATGCGTATAACAGACCGCAGTATATCCGTGCCAGGCATATGTAAACACGTATAGATCACGCTGAGAAGAAGTGACTAAAAGAACTTATGAAAGTCAAAAAATAAAAATAAATCAATCAATTAGCTAGAAAAAACTGATTGTACATGTACTGTGTAGTTGCAATTCTGACGTGTCGTTTGCATTGTCTCTCATTGTTCTGGGAAAACTTCTAAAATTGAGAAATTTAGAGGAAAAAAGACCAAAAGATCGATTGAAAATGGAAATACTTGTAGTGTTATCATCTTAGCAACCACTTTGAGGCTAAATTGTGTATTTATGCAACATTTATTTGTACGATTCTGAGTTGTCTTATTCGGTTTAAGCCTTGTAGAGCACATAAAAAGAGTTTCAATGTGATCGTTTGTTAATTTTGGGCAAACGAAGTCTTTAAAATGAGAAGGCTCAACAGAGGATTGGGAAGTTGCTAAAAACAATTCCGTATTCACGAGGGTCTGGTCAAGCATCCGCTGAGCACGGTCGAAGTCGCTAATTTCCACACGTCCACACGTTGAATGGGAGTGAAACATACGTGCAGAGAGCTGCCCGTTCAGGAATGACGATGCTGACTACTGGAGCTGCTCTCTAAGAATTTGGAGGCCGCGTCGGTTTCCTATTGTGAAACCCACTCATGTATAATTTTTGAAGTATTCACAAAATTGGCACAGCAGACTTAAGCACCATTATAGACCACTTGCCGCGGATGGCCTGAGTCCAAGACAGACCGCCCATAGACCTGGGACAGGGACGTGTCTGAGCAACAATTTACGGCAAACAGGGCTTGGCAAATCTGGAGTGAAGCAAGATCGCACGTTGGCCATGCGTCCTGGGAGTGATTATGTGCCGAGTGTACAATTAACTACTAAAGGCTCGGCCTACTTATTCCTCAGAGGCGGAATTTCGCCTGGTAGGACCTGTTTACGGTTTACCAACCATGCAGTTTTGTTCGTGCAAAATCTACGCCGGATATTAACCGATTGCATAGGAGGAAAACAAAACAGTGACTGATGAAGGGCAGACGAGGCCCTGGGACCGCGCTGCAAAAGTAGGTTGAAGGGATGGCGGAACAGCTACAAAATTTACCGTAAATCGTAAACAACCGAAACGAAGGGTAAAACCGATGGCCGAAAAGGACCTAAGCGCTCCAAGTGTAACCAGAACGGGCATTGCCCTCAACTTGCCGACACACGGGAGGATAACAATGGGAAAGTGAGAAAAACCACAACCAACCTAAGAACCAGAAAAGTCTTAGAGGCTGTACCTGAGCCCCACGATACAGCTCAACGAAAGGGGACCGAAAAAAAGCTGGGCATGAGTGTCACTGAAGTTGGGAAAGGGCTGCACGTGGATGCCGTTGCAAATGGAGTGAAGGCGGTGGCACTTATTGAAACTGGAGCCACAGCATCCGCTCCATTGGAATTGCTTGGAGACGTACAGACAATAGACCTAGCCGTAGCTCTGGTAGTCCATTTCGGACACGGCCATAGTTATGTGCACTGACCGCCGTTTACGTGGAACCGGGGGTTAACGTGCAACTTCAGCGATGGTCCAACGGGAGCCTGAAGATCGTGGCGGGTTCGCTTTTGTGACAAAGACACTTGCGAACCGGTTATCCGGTTGAATGACAGAAACGTACCCGTCGCTCCCAACAGCGCTACACAGTAAGATCTTTATCCAAGTTACAGCCAACGAAGACCCTGATACGAGAATTATTCCAGATTGATGACGTCATGATGACGTCATCTTGCATTTCTTTTAAAATCGATTTTGTTTATCTTATTTTTCCCCATTAAACAATTCGAAATCCGAAACAGCCCTGTGGTTGTTGCTGTAACAATCACTACCTCTAGTTGTTATTGTGACATTGTCCTCGTTTTGTCTTCCCTTGTTCACACGCTTTCCACCATACTTACATGATACACATCGGTGTAAGTCACCAGCGTCCTTTCACGTTTCAGAAAAACGCGATACCGGTCGATCCTTTTTTCTGGTTCCGCAACGTCAAACTTGATCCTGACTTGACTGTCGTTGGGGATCACGTCCACGTGTCGGGGTAACCAGTCTCCAGCAGCTGTGGAGCGTAAATGGCGACTCGAAGTGGAGGCTATAATTTAAGGTAAAGCATATAAACATATTCAAAAGGAAAGTTCATTGTATATCCACTTTTTAATGGGACCCTGCTTTTAATTTATAGAACCCCAAAGAAAGTAACCATGATCTAATTGAAATGGTGCTTT